CCATCTAAGAACACGCGGTTTTTAGAAGTGGATATCGAAAAACCGCGCTTGCTTAAGATGGTGTCTTATGTGTGATACCAATTGATTTTCTCAGAAGAGACCAAGCCACGTTCAAATAATTATACCCGTTACTCGCAGAGAGAGATGGTATACTAGATTCGTCGGAAAGTATGTAACAGGAAGAAGGAAGCATTTTCGATCCCATAAAAAATATATATTAATGATTGGGATCACTAGCCAAGTCGATCTAGCTATGTCCGTCTGTCCGTATGAGCGCTGAGATCTCGGAAACTATAAGAGAAAGAGTGTTGGGACTTGGCAAGCAGATCCTTGGCCTTCCTGCGCATCGCAAGCTTATTTCAGCAGGGTTCCACGCCCATTCTAACGCCCACAAACGACTATAACACTAAAACCCGTCTATCGCCAAAATTTGTCAATATTTTGTAAAATTTTAAATGAGAGTTTGGTCCGATTGACCAGTAACTAAAAAGTTATAACCAAATAATAATCAATATTTTGCAATTCAATCGAGAATGCATACCACATGCAGCAAGTAAGCTGTTTTCACTAATAGAAAAAGAATATAGGTGGCGCTTTAGGTTCGGTGTGTTAGTGAAAAAAGAAGAGTAGCTTTAAGCATATCTCACTCCCTCTCGCACTCCCACGGGAACGACCTGCAAGGTCCGTACTCGTAGATTAAAAGGGAAGCGTTTCCGACCCCATAAAGTATATATATTCTTGATCAGGATCACTAGCCGAGTCGATTTAGCCATGTCCGTCCGTCCGTATGAACGCTGAGATTTCGGAAACTATAATTGCTAGGCTATTGGGATTTGGCATGCAGATTTCTGAGCTTCTTGCGCAGCGCAAGTTTGTTTCAGCAAGGTGCCACGCCCACTCTAACGCCCACAAGCCGCCCAAAACTGTGGCTCCTACAGTTTTGATGCTAGAATAAAAATTTTAACTGAAATGTATTATTCTCATCAATAGCTATCGATCGACCAAAAAAAGTTGGACACGCCCACTTTCACGCCCACTAACCGACCACAAACTTTAAAAAATCGTAAGTATGAACGCGGATATCTCGGAGACTGTAAAAGATAGAGGATTGGGATTTCAGATATCCATTCCGTAGCCTTGTACGCAGCGCCCACGCCCATTCTAAAGCCCACAAAGCGCCCAAGCCTGTGGCGCCCACAATTTTCATGCTAGATAAAAAATGTTGACTGAAATGTATTAGTCTCAATACCTATCGGTTGACCCAAAAAAAAGTTTGCCCCGCCCACTCAAACGCCCATATCGATTAAATCAGTCCACCGCCCACATAACCATAAATTGAGATCGCGGGTAGGTGGCGCATTTCAATCTCGCTTTGCTGCTTGCATATTTCCATTTCCCTTTGGTCCCTTTAGCTGAGTAACGGGTATCTAATAGTCGAGGTACTAGACTAGAGCAAATGGTTTTTGTGTGCATGGTGTGTTTAATTTATTTGACCAGAAAAAAAAGGAACGTAGGTTACATATAATTTAAATGGTGGCCGGAAGACGATGGAGGTAGTTGTATAGAAATCACGTAAGATGCTTTTACTGCAGCAGGGATGCGTAGGATGGCTGGGTGATCTTCGGCTGGTTGGGAGTCTCTTCCGGAGCTGGGGTTCCGGGTGGATGATTGGGTCTCGGAGCGGCTGGCGATGACACCCTCGACCCGGGGTTACTTGAAGTGGTCGGCCGTGGCTTGTTAACCATATTGGCTGCAAAATTCTGTCGAGGATCGGGGCTGGGGGCGGTGACGGGAGCAGGAACTGGAACGGGTACGGGGGCGGGAGCAGCCCTCATTTGTTGGTTCATCTCGCCATTGGCGGCATTGACTCGTCCAGCTGCGCCGTCCATTGGCGGCATCCTGTTGATCTCAGGGTTTTGGCCATTCGGATGGAAGTTAGGTATCGCGTTGGGATTGTGGCAAGGACTCATGCGGTTGGGCGGCGGGATGTTCATTGGTGTTCCCTGTTGCATATTGGGTTGGGGGATATCCTGGGGCATTCCTTGATGCATTCCCTGGGGCATTCCCTGGGGCATTCCCTGAGGCATTCCTTGAGGGATTCCTTGTGGCATTAGTTGTTGCATTACTTGCGGCATTATTTGTTGCATTACTTGTGCGTAGCTGCTCTCCTCGCTTCCCTGGCGACCCGAATCAGCATTCCCGATCTGCGAGCGGGGACTAGAGTTCTCGGTGGCGGAGGACTCCGTGGGCGACGAGTCCGAAGCTTCCTGCCTGGCGGTGGTGCTTGTTCCATCGGCCACATTGCCACCCTGCGATCCGAGATTGAATCTCTGCTGCATGCCCGGGTCGATCGTATGAACCGGATTGCCAGCGGGAGTGGGTTCTGCTTCTCCATTAGTGCAAACATGCTGCACAAGGACTCCCTGGTCCAGGGAGTCCTTGTGCAGCATTTTTGCACTAATGGAGAAACAGAACCCAGATCTGATAAACGACAGGAAAATCCTGTAGAATACGTAAAATAATTTTATTTTATTGTAAAAGAACTAGAACATTTTATGTATTTACAAAGCTAGTATATGAAAAAATGAACTATTCGGAATCTAAATCTGAAGCCCCAATTCTCTATCTGTTATAGTTTCCGATATATCCGCGTTCATAATTATGATTTTGTAAAGCTAGTGGGCTTTAAAGTGGGCGTCGCAAAGTTTTTTTTTTCAAGTGATTGGTACTGACGAAAGCTATGCATTGCTGAAAAAATTGCGGTGCGTAATAATCTCTAGAATCTGCATGCCTAATCCCAACTTTATAGCTTTTGTAGTTCCCGAGGTCACAGCGTTTATACGGATGAACAGACATACGGAATTACGGACATGTCTAGTGATCCTGATCAATAATATATATACTTTATAGAGTCGAAAACGCTTCCTTACCCGTTACAAACTTTTTTACGAATTTAGTATACCCTTTTACTCTACGAGTAACGGGTATACAAATCTTAGACTCACCTTGGAAAAACTCACACTAAAATATGTCGGTTTTTGTAAAAATTATCACTGCGTAAAATTTTGGTTTCTTTGCTGGTGTAAAACGAGTAAGGAAAAATTGATATGAACTGTTGGAAAACCAGCACAGAAATGAAACTTTCTAGACATGGTACCCCCAAGTTCGAACGAATGGAAAGTCATGGCACTCTACATAGAGTTTGTGGATGTATCGTATCTTATTATGTGAATAACACAAATAATTTTGACCTATTACTTACTTATGTTTTATGTTACATTTATTACAACACACTATTGGCTTTTAAAATCACAAATTCTTAAGATGACCATATGTATCCAAGGTGTCTTATGTGTGATAACATTACGCAAGCTTAAGCTTAGCTACGTTGAATTAATTTTCTATTTAGTCATACAATTTTTTATTACCATTATATTTTTAAATGGAAAATAATCATAAGCATATTTTTCATTTGTAGTGAAATATTTTTCCAGTAGCATTAGTTTTGGCAAAAGTAATGCATTTTTTGCCATCTAAGAACACGCGGTTTTTAGAAGTGGATATCGAAAAACCGCGCTTGCTTAAGATGGTGTCTTATGTGTGATACCAATTGATTTTCTCAGAAGAGACCAAGCCACGTTCAAATAATTATACCCGTTACTCGCAGAGAGAGATGGTATACTAGATTCGTCGGAAAGTATGTAACAGGAAGAAGGAAGCATTTTCGATCCCATAAAAAATATATATTAATGATTGGGATCACTAGCCAAGTCGATCTAGCTATGTCCGTCTGTCCGTATGAGCGCTGAGATCTCGGAAACTATAAGAGAAAGAGTGTTGGGACTTGGCAAGCAGATCCTTGGCCTTCCTGCGCATCGCAAGCTTATTTCAGCAGGGTTCCACGCCCATTCTAACGCCCACAAACGACTATAACACTAAAACCCGTCTATCGCCAAAATTTGTCAATATTTTGTAAAATTTTAAATGAGAGTTTGGTCCGATTGACCAGTAACTAAAAAGTTATAACCAAATAATAATCAATATTTTGCAATTCAATCGAGAATGCATACCACATGCAGCAAGTAAGCTGTTTTCACTAATAGAAAAAGAATATAGGTGGCGCTTTAGGTTCGGTGTGTTAGTGAAAAAAGAAGAGTAGCTTTAAGCATATCTCACTCCCTCTCGCACTCCCACGGGAACGACCTGCAAGGTCCGTACTCGTAGATTAAAAGGGAAGCGTTTCCGACCCCATAAAGTATATATATTCTTGATCAGGATCACTAGCCGAGTCGATTTAGCCATGTCCGTCCGTCCGTATGAACGCTGAGATTTCGGAAACTATAATTGCTAGGCTATTGGGATTTGGCATGCAGATTTCTGAGCTTCTTGCGCAGCGCAAGTTTGTTTCAGCAAGGTGCCACGCCCACTCTAACGCCCACAAGCCGCCCAAAACTGTGGCTCCTACAGTTTTGATGCTAGAATAAAAATTTTAACTGAAATGTATTATTCTCATCAATAGCTATCGATTGACCAAAAAAAGTTGGACACGCCCACTTTCACGCCCACTAACCGCCCACAAACTTAAAAAAATCGTAAGTATGAACGCGGATATCTCGGAGACTGTAAAAGATAGAGGATTGGGATTTCAGATATCCATTCCGTAGCCTTGTACGCAGCGCCCACGCCCATTCTAAAGCCCACAAAGCGCCCAAGCCTGTGGCGCCCACAATTTTCATGCTAGATAAAAAATGTTGACTGAAATGTATTAGTCTCAATACCTATCGGTTGACCCAAAAAAAAGTTTGCCCCGCCCACTCAAACGCCCAAATCGATTAAATCAGTCCACCGCCCACATAACCATAAATTGAGATCGCGGGTAGGTGGCGCATTTCAATCTCGCTTTGCTGCTTGCATATTTCCATTTCCCTTTGGTCCCTTTAGCTGAGTAACGGGTATCTAATAGTCGAGGTACTAGACTAGAGCAAATGGTTTTTGTGTGCATGGTGTGTTTAATTTATTTGACCAGAAAAAAAAGGAACGTAGGTTACATATAATTTAAATGGTGGCCGGAAGACGATGGAGGTAGTTGTATAGAAATCACGTAAGATGCTTTTACTGCAGCAGGGATGCGTAGGATGGCTGGGTGATCTTCGGCTGGTTGGGAGTCTCTTCCGGAGCTGGGGTTCCGGGTGGATGATTGGGTCTCGGAGCGGCTGGCGATGACACCCTCGACCCGGGGTTACTTGAAGTGGTCGGCCGTGGCTTGTTAACCATATTGGCTGCAAAATTCTGTCGAGGATCGGGGCTGGGGGCGGTGACGGGAGCAGGAACTGGAACGGGTACGGGGGCGGGAGCAGCCCTCATTTGTTGGTTCATCTCGCCATTGGCGGCATTGACTCGTCCAGCTGCGCCGTCCATTGGCGGCATCCTGTTGATCTCAGGGTTTTGGCCATTCGGATGGAAGTTAGGTATCGCGTTGGGATTGTGGCAAGGACTCATGCGGTTGGGCGGCGGGATGTTCATTGGTGTTCCCTGTTGCATATTGGGTTGGGGGATACCCTGGGGCATTCCTTGATGCATTCCCTGGGGCATTCCCTGGGGCATTCCCTGAGGCATTCCTTGAGGGATTCCTTGTGGCATTAGTTGTTGCATTACTTGCGGCATTATTTGTTGCATTACTTGTGCGTAGCTGCTCTCCTCGCTTCCCTGGCGACCCGAATCAGCATTCCCGATCTGCGAGCGGGGACTAGAGTTCTCGGTGGCGGAGGACTCCGTGGGCGACGAGTCCGAAGCTTCCTGCCTGGCGGTGGTGCTTGTTCCATCGGCCACATTGCCACCCTGCGATCCGAGATTGAATCTCTGCTGCATGCCCGGGTCGATCGTATGAACCGGATAGCCAGCGGGAGTGGGTTCTGCTTCTCCATTAGTGCAAACATGCTGCACAAGGACTCCCTGGTCCAGGGAGTCCTTGTGCAGCATTTTTGCACTAATGGAGAAACAGAACCCAGATCTGATAAACGACAGGAAAATCCTGTAGAATACGTAAAATAATTATATTTTATTGTAAAAGAACTACAATAGAACATTTTATGTATTTACAAAGCTAGTATATGAAAAAATGAACTATTCGGAATCTAAATCTGAAGCCCCAATTCTCTATCTGTTATAGTTTCCGATATATCCGCGTTCATAATTATGATTTTGTAAAGCTAGTGGGCTTTAAAGTGGGCGTCGCAAAGTTTTTTTTTTCAAGTGATTGGTACTGACGAAAGCTATGCATTGCTGAAAAAATTGCGGTGCGTAATAATCTCTAGAATCTGCATGCCTAATCCCAACTTTATAGCTTTTGTAGTTCCTGAGGTCACAGCGTTTATACGGATGAACAGACATACGGAATTACGGACATGTCTAGTGATCCTGATCAATAATATATATACTTTATAGAGTCGAAAACGCTTCCTTACCCGTTACAAACTTTTTTACGAATCTAGTATACCCTTTTACTCTACGAGTAACGGGTATACAAATCTTAGACTCACCTTGGAAAAACTCACACTAAAATATGTCGGTTTTTGTAAAAATTATCACAGAAATGAAACTTTCTAGACATGGTACCCCCAAGTTCGAACGAATGGAAAGTCATGGCACTCTACATAGAGTTTGTGGATGTATCGTATCTTATTATGTGAATAACACAAATAATTTTGACCTATTACTTACTTATGTTTTATGTTACATTTATTACAACACACTATTGGCTTTTAAAATCACAAATTCTTAAGATGACCATATGTATCCAAGGTGTCTTATGTGTGATAACATTACGCAAGCTTAAGCTTAGCTACGTTGAATTAATTTTCTATTTAGTCATACAATTTTTTATTACCATTATATTTTTAAATGGAAAATAATCATAAGCATATTTATACCCGTTACTCGTAGGGTAAAAGGGTATACTAGATTCGTCGGAAAGTATGTAACAGGCAGAAGGAAGCGTTTCCGACCCCATAAAGTATATATATTCTTGATCAGGATCACTAGCCGAGTCGATCTAGCCATGTCCGTCTGTCCGTCTGTCCGTCTGTCCGTCTGTCCGGATGAACGCTGAGATCTCGGAAACTATGAGAGCTAGGCTATTGAGATTTGGCGTGCAGATTCCTGAGCCTCTTACGCAGCGCAAGTTTGTTTCAGTAGACTGCCACGCCCACTCTAACGCCCACAAACCGCCCAAAACTGTGGCTCCTACAGTTTTGATGCTAGAATAAAAACTTTAACTGAAATGTAATGTTCTCATCAATACCTATCGATTGACCTAAAAACGCCCACAAACCGCGAAAACCTGTGACGCCCACAATTTTCCATCAATCGATTGATCCAAAAAAAAATTTGCCACGCCCACTCTAACGCCCATAACGCTTAAATCTGTATACCGCCGGTAGGTGGCGCATTTTAGTCTCGCTTTGCTGCTTGCATATCTCCATTTAGCTGAGTAACGGGTATCTGATAGTCGAGGTACTCGACTATAGCGTTCTTCCTTGTTTTCATTTGTAGTGAAATATTTTTCCAGTAGCATTAGTAGCCATCTAAGAACACGCGGTTTTTAGAAGTGGATATCGAAAAACCGCGCTTGCTTAAGATGGTGTCTTATGTGTGATACCAATTGATTTTCTCAGAAGAGACCAAGCCACGTTCAAATAATTATACCCGTTACTCGCAGAGAGAGATGGTATACTAGATTCGTCGGAAAGTATGTAACAGGAAGAAGGAAGCATTTTCGATCCCATAAAAAATATATATTAATGATTGGGATCACTAGCCAAGTCGATCTAGCTATGTCCGTCTGTCCGGATGAACGCTGAGATCTCGGAAACTATGAGAGCTAGGCTATTGAGATTTGGCGTGCAGATTCCTGAGCTTCTTACGCAGCGCAAGTTTGTTTCAGTAGACTGCCACGCCCACTCTAACGCCCACAAACCGCCCAAAACTGTGGCTCCTACAGTTTTGATGCTAGAATAAAAACTTTAACTGAAATGTAATGTTCTCATCAATACCTATCGATTGACCTAAAAACGCCCACAAACCGCGAAAACCTGTGACGCCCACAATTTTCCATCAATCGATTGATCCAAAAAAAAATTTGCCACGCCCACTCTAACGCCCATAACGCTTAAATCTGTATACCGCCGGTAGGTGGCGCATTTTAGTCTCGCTTTGCTGCTTGCATATCTCCATTTAGCTGAGTAACGGGTATCTGATAGTCGAGGTACTCGACTATAGCGTTCTTCCTTGTTTTCATTTGTAGTGAAATATTTTTCCAGTAGCATTAGTTTTGCCAAAAGTAATGCATTTTTTGCCATCTAAGAACACGCGGTTTTTAGAAGTGGATATCGAAAAACCGCGCTTGCTTAAGATGGTGTCTTATGTGTGATACCAATTGATTTTCTCAGAAGAGACCAAGCCACGTTCAAATAATTATACCCGTTACTCGCAGAGAGAGATGGTATACTAGATTCGTCGGAAAGTATGTAACAGGAAGAAGGAAGCATTTTCGATCCCATAAAAAATATATATTAATGATTGGGATCACTAGCCAAGTCGATCTAGCTATGTCCGTCTGTCCGTATGAGCGCTGAGATCTCGGAAACTATAAGAGAAAGAGTGTTGGGACTTGGCAAGCAGATCCTTGGCCTTCCTGCGCATCGCAAGCTTATTTCAGCAGGGTTCCACGCCCATTCTAACGCCCACAAACGACTATAACACTAAAACCCGTCTATCGCCAAAATTTGTCAATATTTTGTAAAATTTTAAATGAGAGTTTGGTCCGATTGACCAGTAACTAAAAAGTTATAACCAAATAATAATCAATATTTTGCAATTCAATCGAGAATGCATACCACATGCAGCAAGTAAGCTGTTTTCACTAATAGAAAAAGAATATAGGTGGCGCTTTAGGTTCGGTGTGTTAGTGAAAAAAGAAGAGTAGCTTTAAGCATATCTCACTCCCTCTCGCACTCCCACGGGAACGACCTGCAAGGTCCGTACTCGTAGATTAAAAGGGAAGCGTTTCCGACCCCATAAAGTATATATATTCTTGATCAGGATCACTAGCCGAGTCGATTTAGCTATGTCCGTCCGTCCGTATGAACGCTGAGATTTCGGAAACTATAATTGCTAGGCTATTGGGATTTGGCATGCAGATTTCTGAGCTTCTTTCGCAGCGCAAGTTTGTTTCAGCAAGGTGCCACGCCCACTCTAACGCCCACAAGCCGCCCAAAACTGTGGCTCCTACAGTTTTGATGCTAGAATAAAAATTTTAACTGAAATGTATTATTCTCATCAATAGCTATCGATTGACCAAAAAAAGTTGGACACGCCCACTTTCACGCCCACTAACCGCCCACAAACTTAAAAAAATCGTAAGTATGAACGCGGATATCTCGGAGACTGTAAAAGATAGAGGATTGGGATTTCAGATATCCATTCCGTAGCCTTGTACGCAGCGCCCACGCCCATTCTAAAGCCCACAAAGCGCCCAAGCCTGTGGCGCCCACAATTTTCATGCTAGATAAAAAATGTTGACTGAAATGTATTAGTCTCAATACCTATCGGTTGACCCAAAAAAAAGTTTGCCCCGCCCACTCAAACGCCCATATCGATTAAATCAGTCCACCGCCCACATAACCATAAATTGAGATCGCGGGTAGGTGGCGCATTTCAATCTCGCTTTGCTGCTTGCATATTTCCATTTCCCTTTGGTCTTTTTAGCTGAGTAACGGGTATCTAATAGTCGAGGTACTAGACTAGAGCAAATGGTTTTTGTGTGCATGGTGTGTTTAATTTATTTGACCAGAAAAAAAAGGAACGTAGGTTACATATAATTTAAATGGTGGCCGGAAGACGATGGAGGTAGTTGTATAGAAATCACGTAAGATGCTTTTACTGCAGCAGGGATGCGTAGGATGGCTGGGTGATCTTCGGCTGGTTGGGAGTCTCTTCCGGAGCTGGGGTTCCGGGTGGATGATTGGGTCTCGGAGCGGCTGGCGATGACACCCTCGACCCGGGGTTACTTGAAGTGGTCGGCCGTGGCTTGTTAACCATATTGGCTGCAAAATTCTGTCGAGGATCGGGGCTGGGGGCGGTGACGGGAGCAGGAACTGGAACGGGTACGGGGGCGGGAGCAGCCCTCATTTGTTGGTTCATCTCGCCATTGGCGGCATTGACTCGTCCAGCTGCGCCGTCCATTGGCGGCATCCTGTTGATCTCAGGGTTTTGGCCATTCGGATGGAAGTTAGGTATCGCGTTGGGATTGTGGCAAGGACTCATGCGGTTGGGCGGCGGGATGTTCATTGGTGTTCCCTGTTGCATATTGGGTTGGGGGATACCCTGGGGCATTCCTTGATGCATTCCCTGGGGCATTCCCTGGGGCATTCCCTGGGGCATTCCCTGAGGCATTCCTTGAGGGATTCCTTGTGGCATTAGTTGTTGCATTACTTGCGGCATTATTTGTTGCATTACTTGTGCGTAGCTGCTCTCCTCGCTTCCCTGGCGACCCGAATCAGCATTCCCGATCTGCGAGCGGGGACTAGAGTTCTCGGTGGCGGAGGACTCCGTGGGCGACGAGTCCGAAGCTTCCTGCCTGGCGGTGGTGCTTGTTCCATCGGCCACATTGCCACCCTGCGATCCGAGATTGAATCTCTGCTGCATGCCCGGGTCGATCGTATGAACCGGATTGCCAGCGGGAGTGGGTTCTGCTTCTCCCTCCCTCCCTGGACCAGGGAGTCCTTGTGCAGCATTTTTGCACTAATGGAGAAACAGAACCCAGATCTGATAAACGACAGGAAAATCCTGTAGAATACGTAAAATAATTTTATTTTATTGTAAAAGAACTAGAACATTTTATGTATTTACAAAGCTAGTATATGAAAAAATGAACTATTCGGAAGCCCCAATTCTCTATCTGTTATAGTTTCCGATATATCCGCGTTCATAATTATGATTTTGTAAAGCTAGTGGGCTTTAAAGTGGGCGTCGCAAAGTTTTTTTTTTCAAGTGATTGGTACTGGCGAAAGCTATGCATTGCTGAAAAAATTGCGGTGCGTAATAATCTCTAGAATCTGCATGCCTAATCCCAACTTTATAGCTTTTGTAGTTCCCGAGGTCACAGCGTTTATACGGATGAACAGACATACGGAATTACGGACATGTCTAGTGATCCTGATCAATAATATATATACCTTATAGAGTCGAAAACGCTTCCTTACCCGTTACAAACTTTTTTACGAATCTAGTATACCCTTTTACTCTACGAGTAACGGGTATACAAATCTTAGACTCACCTTGGAAAAACTCACACTAAAATATGTCGGTTTTTGTAAAAATTATCACAGAAATGAAACTTTCTAGACATGGTACCCCCAAGTTCGAACGAATGGAAAGTCATGGCACTCTACATAGAGTTTGTGGATGTATCGTATCTTATTATGTGAATAACACAAATAATTTTGACCTATTACTTACTTATGTTTTATGTTACATTTATTACAACACACTATTGGCTTTTAAAATCACAAATTCTTAAGATGACCATATGTATCCAAGGTGTCTTATGTGTGATAACATTACGCAAGCTTAAGCTTAGCTACGTTGAATTAATTTTCTATTTAGTCATACAATTTTTTATTACCATTATATTTTTAAATGGAAAATAATCATAAGCATATTTTTCATTTGTAGTGAAATATTTTTCCAGTAGCATTAGTTTTGCCAAAAGTAATGCATTTTTTGCCATCTAAGAACACGCGGTTTTTAGAAGTGGATATCGAAAAACCGCGCTTGCTTAAGATGGTGTCTTATGTGTGATACCAATTGATTTTCTCAGAAGAGACCAAGCCACGTTCAAATAATTATACCCGTTACTCGCAGAGAGAGATGGTATACTAGATTCGTCGGAAAGTATGTAACAGGAAGAAGGAAGCATTTTCGATCCCATAAAAAATATATATTAATGATTGGGATCACTAGACAAGTCGATCTAGCTTTGTCCGTCTGTCCGTATGAGCGCTGAGATCTCGGAAACTATAAGAGAAAGAGTGTTGGGACTTGGCAAGCAGATCCTTGGCCTTCCTGCGCATCGCAAGCTTATTTCAGCAGGGTTCCACGCCCATTCTAACGCCCACAAACGACTATAACACTAAATCCCGTCTATCGCCAAAATTTGTCAATATTTTGTAAAATTTTAAATGAGAGTTTGGTCCGATTGACCAGTAACTAAAAAGTTATAACCAAATAATAATCAATATTTTGCAATTCAATCGAGAATGCATACCACATGCAGCAAGTAAGCTGTTTTCACTAATAGAAAAAGAATATAGGTGGCGCTTTAGGTTCGGTGTGTTAGTGAAAAAAGAAGAGTAGCTTTAAGCATATCTCACTCCCTCTCGCACTCCCACGGGAACGACCTGCAAGGTCCGTACTCGTAGATTAAAAGGGAAGCGTTTCCGACCCCATAAAGTATATATATTCTTGATCAGGATCACTAGCCGAGTCGATTTAGCCATGTCCGTCCGTCCGTATGAACGCTGAGATTTCGGAAACTATAATTGCTAGGCTATTGGGATTTGGCATGCAGATTTCTGAGCTTCTTGCGCAGCGCAAGTTTGTTTCAGCAAGGTGCCACGCCCACTCTAACGCCCACAAGCCGCCCAAAACTGTGGCTCCTACAGTTTTGATGCTAGAATAAAAATTTTAACTGAAATGTATTATTCTCATCAATAGCTATCGATTGACCAAAAAAAGTTGGACACGCCCACTTTCACGGCCACTAACCGCCCACAAACTTTAAAAAATCGTAAGTATGAACGCGGATATCTCGGAGACTGTAAAAGATAGAGGATTGGGATTTCAGATATCCATTCCGTAGCCTTGTACGCAGCGCCCACGCCCATTCTAAAGCCCACAAAGCGCCCAAGCCTGTGGCGCCCACAATTTTCATGCTAGATAAAAAATGTTGACTGAAATGTATTAGTCTCAATACCTATCGGTTGACCCAAAAAAAAGTTTGCCCCGCCCACTCAAACGCCCATATCGATTAAATCAGTCCACCGCCCACATAACCATAAATTGAGATCGCGGGTAGGTGGCGCATTTCAATCTCGCTTTGCTGCTTGCATATTTCCATTTCCCTTTGGTCCCTTTAGCTGAGTAACGGGTATCTAATAGTCGAGGTACTAGACTAGAGCAAATGGTTTTTGTGTGCATGGTGTGTTTAATTTATTTGACCAGAAAAAAAAGGAACGTAGGTTACATATAATTTAAATGGTGGCCGGAAGACGATGGAGGTAGTTGTATAGAAATCACGTAAGATGCTTTTACTGCAGCAGGGATGCGTAGGATGGCTGGGTGATCTTCGGCTGGTTGGGAGTCTCTTCCGGAGCTGGGGTTCCGGGTGGATGATTGGGTCTCGGAGCGGCTGGCGATGACACCCTCGACCCGGGGTTACTTGAAGTGGTCGGCCGTGGCTTGTTAACCATATTGGCTGCAAAATTCTGTCGAGGATCGGGGCTGGGGGCGGTGACGGGAGCAGGAACTGGAACGGGTACGGGGGCGGGAGCAGCCCTCATTTGTTGGTTCATCTCGCCATTGGCGGCATTGACTCGTCCAGCTGCGCCGTCCATTGGCGGCATCCTGTTGATCTCAGGGTTTTGGCCATTCGGATGGAAGTTAGGTATCGCGTTGGGATTGTGGCAAGGACTCATGCGGTTGGGCGGCGGGATGTTCATTGGTGTTCCCTGTTGCATATTGGGTTGGGGGATACCCTGGGGCATTCCTTGATGCATTCCCTGGGGCATTCCCTGGGGCATTCCCTGAGGCATTCCTTGAGGGATTCCTTGTGGCATTAGTTGTTGCATTACTTGCGGCATTATTTGTTGCATTACTTGTGCGTAGCTGCTCTCCTCGCTTCCCTGGCGACCCGAATCAGCATTCCCGATCTGCGAGCGGGGACTAGAGTTCTCGGTGGCGGAGGACTCCGTGGGCGACGAGTCCGAAGCTTCCTGCCTGGCGGTGGTGCTTGTTCCATCGGCCACATTGCCACCCTGCGATCCGAGATTGAATCTGTAGCGTGTAACGTTCGAATGAAGTGTTTTGAATCGAAGGATCTGTACTTGCGGGGCACGCTTTAGGGTCCGGCACTAACTCGTCGGCTTTGGGGGTGTTGTTCTTGCTTTATACTGACCCTGACACCATCTACACATTATTATTAACAGACCAAGAATTGAGCGTGCTTGCGACAAAATTATAAGTTAGTTAACTAAACCGGAAGAAATATAAATAAATTCGGAAAGAATTAAAAAACTCAAGAAAAGAAGAGAAAAGAAAGAGAGAAATCTTAACGCAGCGAAGACACGGATGTTATTGTGCTCGCATGTTGCCCACCCTACCTATGATCACCTGCCGCAAGAGCATGACTCTGGTGACCCCTTTTGTACCCTACGCCCGAGGAAACATCAGCGGAGTTCAGTAAATTTTGGAATTTAAGCTTCCATTTTTATAATAAATTCAAGGAAAGAAAACATAATTAACAGTAATTCAGTAATAGTAATTCATGATAAAGTAATAGGTATAAAAATAGTAATAATGTTTAAACAATGGTATATAATCTTAATTAAGAGAGCATATATATACGGTTTTTGTAAGATAAAGGCGGTTGTTTCAAAGTTTAGAATTTCAATTCGTTTCAGGGTGAGATATTAATTTAATTTGTTTGGTTTAATATAATTAGGATTAATAAAATATTTTTTTGATAAAATTTAAAATTAAAATTCAAGTTAATTCTCTTTAAGTACTTAATATTTGTTGGATAATATTTTCGTTAATTTAATGCTTCGTTAGATTCGGGATTCGTTTATTATTATTTTTGGACGTTCAAATAAAAGTTTGGTTTACTTTTCAAAAGATAAATGTGGATATAGAAAATAAACATTTAGTTTTCAAACTCACGGCAACTTTTCCATCGGCGAAAGATCGATCTCCCGACGCAGGTGTGCTGGAAAAAGATTATGGCGTTTTGCACCATAGGGTTAAAGTGAACTAAGAATATATTTTGAAAACAATTTAAAAAGAAACTTTCTTGCCATTATGTCCCGATTCTTTAGAGGCACAAAATTGTTATTTAAGTTTAGGTAGTATCTACAATAAACTAATTAAGATCCGCTCCATTATATTTCAAAATTTCCCTAGATATTTTCCCCCATGGGGTTCACTGTGGTTGCAGGTTAAATATGCTCGCAATTGGGGCAAAAGATTGGGTTGATCGTCAGAGATAATACAAAGAAATAGCAGAGGGTTAAACCCCGTTAAAATTTTCGCCTATGTGCATTGGGGTAAGGCTGCTGCCGCGGTGTAGCTGCGTAAGTGTGCGCCGAAAGCTTACACGTCCATGTGCATAAGTAGCGGCTCGTAAATGCGCGCATGTGCAAAAGGGTTAGCTGCGCATGCTTGTTCGTTGGTGCAGGGTTAGGTACACATGACGTTTATGGGGGTGCTCCACGGTGCAGGCGCCGGATTTCGGTGGTACCAGGTTATGTACGCTTGTAGCTAGGGGGTGCTCCTCGGTACGTGCACGTGGGTTTCCGTTGGTGATACCTAGTTTACATGCTCCTCGTCTCGACGACCTTACATACTGCTAACTGGGCACAACCTGACGATTGGGGAACGGTTACAGCAAATACCAAAAAAATACACTGTTCTCGAGAATATCTACCTTACGATTGTGCCCCGAAAACGTCTTGGGGGTTTTGGGATTTTTTCCCGGGCCGTTGCCGGTAGAAATCTCGCCAATCCAACCACAAAAATACTATAACTTGCTGCTGGCCTGCTGGCCGGAACACTTTCGTAGCCGGGACGACTCTAAGTTTTTCCTCTTCAGCTGCCTGAGACACGGGCGGGGGTTAGACACAGAAAGAAAACCAATTCGCCGGGAAACTTACTCGATCTAAGCTTTGGCGGGTGTCTTTATTTAAATTTTTCACTATCGAATTGCAATACTTGCGAGATGCACGCGTACCCGAGTTAAAGTTTCGAACTTGTTGGGGACTGGGGACTTAAATTTTTTAGTGCATGTGCACTCCGCGACTGCTCGATTGAAAAGAAATAGAACGGAACCGGGTAATGTTGGTCTAGGCTGCCAGCGGAAATGCATCGCAGCCGGTAATCACGCCATGTTGGTAATTAAGCTTTCCAGAGCTCCCCTGGTGCAGCTGATCATGCCAGCCGTGGACAGTTGGTGTTCCCAAAAAAAATACTAAGTAAGCTGGGCTTACTAACATCTGTGGTTTGAAACCAAGCATAATAGCGCTACCCTAGTACAGCTGATTACTATCGGTCAGTTGTCATCTCAAAAAAAATACTAAACCGGGCTTACTAATATTTGTGGTTTGAAACTAAGCTAAGCTCAAAAAAAACCTAAACAAAAAATATTTTTCTTGGCCGAACTAAAAGGAAAAATTTCGTTGCTTCAGTCGCCGCTACAAATCTCTGCTGCATGCCCGGGTCGATCGTATGAACCGGATTGCCAGCGGGAGTGGGTTCTGCTTCTCCATTAGTGCAAAAATGCTGCACAAGGACTCCCTGGACCAGGGAGTCCTTGTGCAGCATGTTTGCACTAATGGAGAAGCAGAACCCAGATCTGATAAACGACAGGAAAATCCTGTAGAATACGTAAAATAATTTTATTTTATTGTAAAAGAACTAGAACATTTTATGTATTTACAAAGCTAGTATATGAAAAAATGAACTATTCGGAATCTAAATCTGAAGCCCCAATTCTGTATCTGTTATAGTTTCCGATATATCCGCGTTCATAATTATGATTTTGTAAAGCTAGTGGGCTTTAATGTGGGCGTCGCAAAGTTTTTTTTTTCAAGTGATCTCTAGAATCTGCATGCCTAATCCCAACTTTATAGCTTTTGTAGTTCCCGAGGTCACAGCGTTTATACGGATGAACAGACATACGGAATTACGGACATGTCTAGTGATCCTGATCAATAATATATATACTTTATAGAGTCGAAAACGCTTCCTTACCCGTTACAAACTTTTTTACGAATCTAGTGTAATGCACCAGCCTTAAGATCTTTAAACGACATTTTTGAAAAGTAACTGATAATAAAGATAGCACTCGTTACTTATCCGAGTTAATTACCGGAGAAGGTAACCCCAGGTAATCACAAGCAAAATTGCCTAAATAAAGACGGAAAGTGATCCAAAGCGAAACGTCAGAACTTAGATTTTTGTCGGATGTTTAAGCTCCCAGCTTTTGAATTCCGATCTACTCAGTCTTTCTGTTTCGAGAACTCTAAGAGTACGGTCGGCTTCAAAAAGTTAGTCCAACTTCAATTCTGGCCACACCACGTGCAGTCGAAATTCACAGAAATCTTTTTATCAGTGATTATTAAGGCTAAAACACAATAAAATAACCAACTAGTCAAGCTCCTAAATCAGAAAAACAGAAAGAAACAACAAATAAATTGAAGGAAAGCAAACTGAACGTAAGTTAAAAGAAAAGGAGGTAGCCAACGTGAAATTAACATTTAGTTCTCTATCAGAAGATCAGGCTATAAACATCTAGCCAGCAGCAGGTTGTCGGTGTGGTTCGGAACCAAGCTCTTCCCAATCCAGGCTAGGATAGTCGGCGGTAAAATCATTCGTCAACAGGGAATAGGATCCCTTCAGTTGAAAGGCGGAGGGTCGGCAAACTGCGGCCACAAAAGTCCACAAAGATTCATCGACGACTTCCCAACGGCAACCCCAGACACCTACACCCCAATTGCGGCCGCCACGTGCCAACACCCCCCGACAGGGCAGCTGCTCCTAGATTAGAGAGAGAGAGTTAGCCAGTATCATTTGGAAATAACCCCCAAAACAAAACATTAAAATCTATCTGAAAATTATGTAAATCAAAGTGCAATTGATCGTGTTACGCTATTTGAAACACTTACGCACCCAAATTGGTACAAGCGTTGCATAACTCTCTTCTTTCACCGGTAAATGTCTGCACGAGAATCAGCACTAAGTCTTGGGTATCGACGGCGGTTGCGAAGAAATAATTAAAACTTGTCTCTCTAAGGAATTTCCACTAGTTAACCCCTGGAACCATGGAGCGCTTCATCGGAATTTTCAGAGGGTAAGTGATCGCATGCTACTCTAGTTTTGATTGTTTCGGGCAAGCCGCCGATTGGAAAAAAAAATTTTACCCCAAAAGCGAATGGGTGAGCTAAAACCCTCCAAAACGAATAACCGGCTGCCGTCCCAAAATACAAAAACCTTCGGTGATGATCTGGTTTGCCTAAACAGAGGTCCGGCCGCGATAAGCTTTCCAGACCGTTTTGTTTTGATTGCGTTATTCGTCTTGGAGAATTTTGGCTGCCCTCAAATATGAATTAAAGGGAACTCATTGCGTGTAATTATGGTTTGCCTAAGTAAATCAAAGAAAATAAAAAGAAAAGAAAAAACCAATATGTAAACAGACAAGCCTGGTGAAGAATACGAAAGAAATGAATTAATAGATGTGACCCATACAAAGAAACCAATCAATTGCACTTAAAACTAAGAAAACCTATGCCTAGAATAAAAATTTAAAAGACCAGTTTTGTTAGATAATATAACTTGAATTGAAATCATGAAGTTAAGTAAATGAAATCTTAAATAATGTATGTTGACTACACCCATACAACATTTGTTTGTAAAACTTAATTATAGATATAACATGATGCAAGGCTAAATCCCCTTTTAATTTCTTTTCCGAGGACATGGGGCTCTAAAATAAAATATTAATTAACTATACATTTTGGGGTTCTTATTTAACACCTTAACAGAAAGAACCAAGGTTGGGAGGGTATAGAAGGGTAGGACGGCCAACATCTCAGTCCCATCCGCTTTTATCTATTCAACTTATGTGCTGCATACCGATTTAGTTCATCCGCCATTCATTGTTCAGTTCCATTATTAATTTGAGGTTTAGTGCGGAATTTCGATTAGTTAGTTTCTGGAGGGATCTTTAAATATTTCGACGTAACCGCGATCTACAACAGCCGCAACAACCCACCCAATTCCTCCCGCTGAAGCTAGGGTATCAAAAGGTCCCAAATCGCGAGTTAGCTGTGGATTCATGAGCCAGTAGGTTTTTTCCAGAAGGTGAGACAGAAAAGACTTTTCCTACAAGGCGTGCGTTACAAGATTTTGGCGCCCAACGTGGGGCATAGCTATGATAATACAGCAAGGTAAAATTGCTTTATCATAGTTGATGTACCAATAAAGTTGATGATTACATTGTATAAAAACATAGAGTATGGGTTTTCTTGGAACTCGAACTTAATTGCGCATGCGAAAAGTGTCGACCAGAAATACGTATACTTTATTAAAGGAAAGGAAGGACCTATAAAAACAGCAGTATTGTAGAATACCAGAAATAGGTTTCGGCAATCAAGAAGGTCAGATACAAAAAGAAGATTCAATAAATAGCTTAATAAGTTGAGAAGTTGGACACTTATTTCTTTAATTTTGGAAATCGAGTATTTGAGCATTTGAATATTTCGACCAAATTAGAATTAGGTAGGAAATTATCTCGTAATTATAGTCAGAGAAAATCATTATTTGGATTCCACCAATATAAACAACCATACTGAGTTTTGTATACAGAATCTACTGGAAAACAGAGGTAAATTCACATGAGTTTCCCTGTCCGAGATCGGCCGGTATAAATTATTCATTGGTTGGGGGGACATCTTTAGTGCAATAGCCCAGAAAAACAGAAATAAAATCAAAGTTGAATAGATTTAATTATTATTTATTTCGGAGCTTCCGAAATTGTCCAAGGAAAGAAAAAAAACAAAACAATAAAACCTCGTACAATCATGCCAGTGGAGCATACACCAGATGAATTTAGACAGCCACCACCAGCATCACAAGATGTCTGCATAGTTTGTGGAGAGCGTATGGAAGATACGCAGCCGTGTGCAGTAACCAAATGCCAACACATATTCCATAAATCCTGTTTAGAAAAACGAGTAACGGAGACAAAAGAATGTCCTAGTTGTATGGTGCTAGTAAGCCTCAAAGACTTAAAATACATTGTGGGAAATCATTCTCCGAAACCAAAAGATAACCCAAAAGGACAGCAAATTAAGAAATTACCGGTAGGTCCTCGGCCATGTACTCGCTCTTTAACGAAGGAATTAGAACTAGTAGGTGGAGAGGAGGAAGGCGCTGTACTACCTTTACTAGACGTTGACGAAGGAAGGTTA